TCCTTTTGATTTGAATTGTTTCACGCATTTACGATATACGGGTTACCAGTAACTTTCTCATTCGGGCTTTCTTGGTATTTTGCAACGTTGCTTGACAGAACTGTCAAATTTATTGTTGACATTTTAAAGATTCACTTCGCAGAAAATCACATAAATCGCCAATTGAAAGTTTAATTTTTCAATTGAAGTTGTCAAAAGTTTAGAGTTCGTTTGGATGTGCTTTTAAAATAATTGAAAACACTTTTGATTAAAAAAATTTTGAACCAATCCTTAGTTAAAATGAAAGTAAATTCTAAAAATGCACTTTAAGTGCTTCCTAGAAGAAGCAGATAACTGGTGCTTCTTACAAAAAACACTTCAAGTTCTTTTGGAACAAAAAAACACTTTCCCTAAAAGAGCTTTCAGTTATTCTAAAAACACATTCAAACAAACCTTTAGTGTTTAAGTGAGAAATATAATCCGTCTGTTTAATTTGATAGCTTTTAAATAATTGAACGATTTTAAGTGTAGTAAAGTTTTTGTAAAGATGATTTCAACCACCTATTTTCTAAGTGGCATGACTTAGAAAATAGATGATTTAAATCATTATCGAGCATTATAAGATGAGAAAGATAACCGAAAATGTCCAAATGAGAATATCTCTAGGATTCCCCTTACGATTTTAACCCGATGTTCAAATTTTAAAAATATTGTTTTACTCATTCGTAAATGATAATGATTTACATATAACATCATAGGAAAGTTCGGGGTTTCCCATTTGCTTGAAAGTCTCCATTCCATGGAAATAGCCATCATTTTACTTGTAAACAATAAGTAGCGATAGTGACATTCCATATTGCATGTTTTATTACAACTTTTTTTATACTCATATGAAAAACAAAAAACTTGGTGCAAAACCGAACACAATAGTATTTTAAGATTCATACAGCCGGCCCATTTTGTGAGATGAGAATGATCGATTTTGTGAGGCATAGAGATAATAGGATGGTCCAACTAAAATAATATATGATGTATTGGTCCCCAAAAGGTTGTCATTTGCTCTTCATTGACTGATAATAGTACGTTTCCTCTCCCTTTTCTAGAGGGAGACTGCCGCCAGCCATGCAGTATTGTGGAAGTGGAAGGACCATTTTCTGATCGGAATATATAACGATCGCATGCATTTCCAAAATTTGAGAAGTTTCATGGGAGAGGGTTCATATGTTTAAAAACCAAGTCAAAAGCGATTTATTTGGTTCCCCTTAGTTGAAAAGTTGTCTTTCAACTTCTGCCAAAGTAATCGAAAAGCACTTCTATTAAGGCTCAAACTTTGGCTTGGAAAACCCGTAGAATGCTTTTGTTCTGGAAAAAAGCATGCATGAAATGCTTTTGCTATGAAAAAATGGATTTTTTAAACGGTAGAAAAGCTAAAGCTACACCAAACAAGAAGGAAAGACTTGTTTAATGATAAAATACAGCCTTACTTGTTCGGAAAAAATGGGATATGTAGATATATCGTAACGTAATTGTATTTAGCTCATTGTTTAATCTGATCACGTAATAAGCGAGATACTTAAACAAGACAATATTTCTCTGTCTTTCTTGATTGTAATGACATGCAATATAGAAACCGCATTGATTTAGGGACAATGGGTTGGTTGGTATGTACGAAATGTTGTTTTCTTTTGCTTCTAATTTGTTGAAAGCAACCGATCAATTGGTGTTGGTGAACACAGGACTACACTCGCTGCCTTAGTAACCAATATTTTGAAAACCCCAACATAATATAACATGGACTTTTCAGACCCAGAGTTCCAGACCTTCGATACTTGAGATTGGAATATCTAGATCTACACTGTAAGTCCTTATTTAACATAAGAGTAATGCTAAGAGTACTCTTTAAAAAAAAGGGACTCTTCATAGACTCGCTGTCATCTCATGTTTTTTGTACAATATTTTATAACGTTGACACGGGAACTAACATTAAATTGTGAGGTGACAGAAAGTTCATATAGAGTTTTATTTCTGAAGGAGTCCCTTTAGCATTTCTACATATATATACATACACATGACTTTTTAGCTAAAATTGTCTCTGAGATTGACGTAACTCCTCACTTTGGTCCCTGAGGTTTGAAATCGATATAAGTGGTTGCTGAGTTTGTCCACCGTCAATCATTTTGGTCCTTCATTGAAAAATCTATGTTAAATAAGGACCAAAATGACAAAATTACACTCAATTTAATAAACAATGGGCTAAAATTATTTGACAAAAATTAAGAGTATTTTTGCCATTTTATCTTTATTTAACGAAGATTTGTCACAGAAAAATCAAAATGATTGATGGTGGGTAAACTCAAAGATCAGTTCTATCGAATATCAGATATCAAAATAAAGAGTTATGTCAATCTCAAATATGATTTTGAGTAAAAAGCTTATATATATTATGGTTGGTCATGGCACACACACTCGCCAAAAAAGGAAGGTTCGTCACGGCATTTTATTAAAAATGTACAGTGCTGCTTTTTAGGTATCAATCTTGGCGTAGTGCATGCAGTAGTGGTGTGGTTCTGGGGCTGTGGAAAAGGTTGGTTTCTTGACAATGCATGCATATGGTAAAGGGATGGAAGTATATGTTAATTATAAATGTGCTTTGGAAAATTGATTCTCTGTCTCCATAAACTATCCTTATCATGCATGAAACTTTTCCAAGTTCCTTTGCAGAGGGACAAGGCATCTCTTAATACTTGATAGGATAGTGCTAATGGCATCCATGCACGAAGTCACTTTTTTCCTCACCTTATTCGTTTTTATTTTCATCTCTTTAGTTGTAGGCTCGTTTGAAGTGTTCTTAAAATGGTTAAAATCGTTTTTGATAAAATGTTTTTGGGTTTCAATCTTTAATAAAAATACAAATGAAACCTGAAAAATCATTTGAAGTATGTACTTCCTACAAGAAGCACATAATCGTTGCTTCAAGTGCTTTTGGAACTAAAAAATATTTTCCCTAAAAACGCTTCTAATCATTTTAAAAGCGCTTCTAAATAAACCTCTAGTTATGCAGTGACCACATTCCCATATCCTTAACTTGGTTCAGTGATGGCTTTAATATGGTTTATACTTGTTTCGTTTGTGGTCTTTACATGAAATCTATACTCATAGCATCATCCATGTGATTGTATAGTACCTGTGTAAGGTTTTACTCTCTGTGTTTGTGCAAGTTCACACTAAATCAATATGTAAGTCACTTGAAAAAACACATCCATACGACACCTTGGATTCAAAGGCATACCAAATCCATTTCATTAGGGTTTGTTCATCAAATCAAGCATTTCTTTTGAAGATTTATAGTAAATTAGGGTCAACGTCGAAATGAAGAGCATCTCTTTTTCTTAGGACATCCGACATGTCTATGGAGAATAAAGGTGTACATTATATGCCAATGGCCCAGCCAGGTATACATATGATATGCCTATCCCCACACTTTAAAAAAATTGAAAATCAAATCCTTTGCAAAGCTGGCTCAGAGGCGAGGCGAACAAATATATGTTTAGTTTTTTTTTTTTTTTTTAATATCATAAATTGCATTCTCGATAAATAAAGAAGAGGGGTCTAGTAGTATTCATCTTTACTTGTAAGTATGAGGTTTTAAGTTCGGTTCTCGCCAAAGGCGAATTTGAAACACATTATTACTAGTCCATTATAAGGCTAAGTCTACCCCCTTTCTCTTGGTGTAGATAATATCATTTTTTCAAAAAAAAAAAAAATTAGAATACTTCATTGCATTTTTATCTGAAGCCTCAATTTTTAAATAATTTTTTTCTTCAAATTTACAACCAAGTGCATTATTACACTTAATGTATCGAGCCATTTTTGCACACTGAAAATTTTCTCTAATTTTCATGCTCTGTCCCCTTTTAGGTCTACGCTAATCAAATTGCACCACTCATCACTTACGATCCAGTAGTTTAAAAAGAGACCCAAAAAATAATGCGTTTTGAGCACAACTTGTGTTCTAATGGTCTCTCCGTAATCATGCAAGACAAGCTAAATGATTGCATATGACATGATTTTTCCCAAATTTAAAAAACATGAAAATTGAGTCACCCGAATGACAATTTCAAAAAGTTGTGGTTTTCGGTTCGTGGGTGGCTTTTTAATCGGCATAGTTGGCCTTTAAATTTGCTTTTATGGACTTCTTTTTATCCAACAGGGTATCGATACCTTTAGCTTTGTTGATTTGGTGCACCTTCCCCAGTGGTGCTCTCCAGCCTCCATGTTAGGTGCTAAGAAGATGCCGAGCTTTTCTATTGCCGCACAAACATGGCCCAAGCAACGAAGGTTGTTGTCTGGGGTTTTTGACCTGAACTTGACTATTTCAATTAAATTGAGCTAATGTTTTTTATCGGTGTTTAGTGAACTTATAAACGTTGAGATTGAACTTATTAAATTGGACAACAGCCAACATCATATGTGGTAGTCATGTTTTTTTAATTACATTGGATTAGCGGCCTTAAATTCCCTTGTGTCGATGTGGTAACCTCCCTCCCCCGGGCTTAGGGTTCCAAAATGACACCTTTTGTTGACCCTTGTCACCTTCCTTAACAATCCCTCAAGCTTCTATGCTTTCCTTATAGAACTCGTCAGGTTGACTTGAAGGTCGAATTCTATGGTAGAGGGGGATTACATATTTTTTTTGTTTTGAAAAAATAATATTATTTACACTAATGAACTAACAATAATACTATCACACACTAGACACGTCGTAGCTCAATGTCTCTCATTTAGAAGGGAGTGATACTTTATAGAACTGACTTGAACTCAATTCCGATCGTTTCCCAATCTTAGACACCAAACGATCCCTAGCAACTAATTTTGTTGTTGTCTTCTTTTGTTGGGCCTGGCCCAATGTGTGATCAAAACCAAACCGATGAACAATTTAGGCCTTTCTTATCAGAGCTTGGTACAGAGCCCATTAGGCCTTTTCTATTGGGGCATGGGTCGAAGTCCAAGCCGGCCTTCATATATAAACAGCTTTAAGAAAATGCCTCATCTCTGAAAAACCAGCGGAATCATTTGGCGCCGTCTCAGAGAACCTAAGCACATAGCCAACCGCCGCCTCCGCCTCCGACGCCATGGGTCGCATGCACAGTCATGGGTGCGCCTCCTCCTCCCTTCTCTCTCTCTCTCTCTCTCTCTCTCTCTCTCTATCTCTCTCTCTCTCTCTATAGAAGTATTCGATTTCTTATCTGTTTTGGGGTTTTGCAGAAAGGGAATGTCAGCCTCAGCGCTGCCGTACAAGAGGAGTGCGCCGAGCTGGCTGAAGGTCACTGCTCCAGATGTAAGTAAATCAAAAACCCAAAATTTATATGTAATTATCGATGCTAATTGAGGCGATTATATATATGATTAAGGTGGAGGAGAACATCTGCAAGTTTGCAAAGAAGGGTATGACTCCGTCTCAGATCGGTGTCATTCTCCGTGACTCTCACGGCATTGCGCAGGTTAAGACCGTTACTGGAAGCAAGATCCTGCGTGTTCTCAAGGCTTACGGTATATGCCTCTTTTTGGGTGTAATTTTAATATTATGAATTGTATTGCACTGTTTAGTGTCTTTGGGAATTATATTAGAAATGTTTGGATGTGTAGTGGGAATTGTGGGATTGAAACCCATTATTCTAATTAGCCAAATTACGTAGGTGAAGTGAGTAAGCACTGATTGATTGCTTGATATGCTTTTGCGGATTTTGAACATGGGATTCAAACCCAATTTTGGTTTTAGGATTAGGCTAGCTCAATGTGAAGAGGTTTTCTCTTCCATTTTTCATGTTCTGTGAAAATATGAAGAAGATTAGGAGTTCTTTATGATTATCAAACAGGCCTGTGGTATTGTGTCTTTCAGTTTGCTTCGCACTGACGAAATAATAGCCTACTTATGTAGATGATACGTAATATTGTTTACTGTTGGTTAGGTCTTGCTCCTGAAATTCCTGAGGATCTGTACCATCTTATCAAGAAGGCAGTTTCAATTAGGAAGCATTTGGAGAGGAATAGGAAGGACAAGGATTCCAAGTTTCGGTTGATTTTGGTGGAGAGCAGGATCCACAGGCTTTCTCGTTACTACAAGAAAACTAAGAAGCTTCCACCCGTCTGGAAATAGTAAGCATTCTTACTCTGTTTCCAACGTATAAATTTCTATGTTTCATTCTAGTATGTTGGTATCATTCCTAACGCCTTGTTGGTATCATTCCTAGCGGCTTGTTACAACTCCTGGTTTCTAGGCCTTGTAGTGTTGGACAAACAGGGCTCTTTGCTTATCAACTGCCAGAGTTATATCTAGTCATAACATGTATCGAAGCCCCCTCGCCTAGAAAGATTTTATCTTAATGTTTAAGATGTATTTGATATTTCTTAGCATCACAAGAATAATTTTATCATTCCCTATCTTTGCAAAAACGGATGCATAATTGAAGTACCCAATACATATTGTTTCTTCTTTGCATATCTGCCAGCCGACGTTTAGAGTTTATTGTCTGCAGTTTTGTTTTCTGTTTCTATACAACAATTTACGAGTTCTCTTTTGTTTTACAGCGAGTCAACCACTGCCAGCACTCTTGTTGCTTAGGTTGGTTTTGCAACTTGCTACCGCTGTGCGATTAGCTTGGGTTGATGAGGTATACTTGGGAAAGCCAAAAAGGAAGATGGTGGTATTGTGTGTCTCCATGTTTCGAACTTGTAGACCCTTTAGCTATTGAAAATTTTGGTATTCATACATGTAAGGAAAGAGAATCCTAGGGCCTTATGTTTCGGCATTGCATGTTTTATTTGAGATTGATGTTTTCGAGAGTTATATTTAGCATTGCAATTTATCGTGCTTACATTTGCAAGCCTTGATGTTACTTTTTGCAAGAATGAAACTGCGCTCGTTATGTTAGCTGAAAACAGAGATGGCCACAATGCTTACTTGCTTAAGGTCGAAACCATCCATCGTCTGCACTTCTTGAACGAACCTAACTTAAGTCAGAGATTCTTAGCTATACCTGTTTCAACACCGGGGACCATAAAATCGATTACAACTGATTACAAGGCAAATTCTCTCCAACTTGCTCAACTCTGCCTCAAATTGTAGAGTAATGCTATTCTTATCACAATTTTATATCTTTAATGCATATGAGTTGGACAAGTTACATCATTTAATTTCAATTATCTTATTAATTAAAACACTTTAATAAGGAAAATTGCAGACTTCAAGATCTCCCTCTGGCGTTATTAGCTTAATTGGGTATGAACCCTAATCCAATAGACAAATTTGATTTTGACTCCTAATTCGCAGGAAAGCTAATACACATTACTTAATGAAATAATCAGCTGAAATCCTTCTTTTAAACCACAAAAAAAATTATTTTGAAAAGAAAAAAAAATCATGAGATGAACAACCATAGAGTACCAATGAAGATTGGAGATAGAAATACTTGAATGCGAATGAGGATTGGGGCTACAAGGATGGAGGATTGGGGATATAGGGCATGAGTCTGGAGATAGAAATCAATGGTGATTATGGTATACGAGTAAATTCTATAAAGCTTGACCATGAAAATGAAAGGGGAAGGAAGAAGCATAATGGAGAGAGGAAGGAAGAATGAGACTCCTCGTATGCCACAATTATCATTTAATTAATAATTTTTTTTATTAATTATTGATTAACATTTTGAAATTAAATGTTAATTAATTTAGATGATGTGGTTGTCCACATCAGATGTCACATAAAATGGTATACAATTATAATACAAAAACATGGTAAGAATAACATTAGTAACATAATTTTTAAATGTCAGAAATAAAACCGCAATTAGTTTTTGTGGTGGTACGTTAAGTTGGACCACATAGCTAGAGTGGATGTGGTCTCCTATACATCCGAGTTCGTATTTACTTATGCTAAGTGGATTAGTTCAAATAAAATATAATTACATTAAAATAAAAAGAGACCGGCATTATTAAAAAGAAAAAACAAAAAAAAATAGTTTGGGCTGAGATAAGTAGTAGCCCGAGCCGGTTTCAACGGTTCAACACCCCAACTTGAACCCAAAAGCCCACACCGCTTAAAAAATGGCGGTTCTTCTTTTTTGGGCTGAAAAAAAGAAAAGAAAAGAAAATGGCGGTTTAAACCCCTGAAGGAAAAGAAACAAACAATTAGTAAAACCCTAGAAAACCAAAGAAGGCGAAGTCAGTGTCTCTTCTCTTCCCCAGTGCTTGCACGTTTTGTAGCAGATAGAAGAGAAAGAAGAAGAACCCAGGTACCAAATCCTGCTCACCCTTTTTTTCTATTGAATTGCATCTTCCTCTATATTTTTCTGCTTAATTTATCTTCTTATTTTTTCTCCTGTAAATCGGTTTGTATTGCCGTTCATCGTCAGATTATTTGACAAATTTTCGACCGTTGGCGTTCGATAACTTTATCGATATTCTTCTGCTTGAGCTAGTCGTTTGTTTCCTGAGAAAATTGTTGGAAAATATAAGAATTAAATTACCCCTTTTTACCTGGCTTGGCCCTCACATTTAATTGGTTAACTTACAATGTTCATGTAGGTTGCAAATTAGTTTGTTTAAGTGAATTATTGACTCTTAAGTGTTTGTGTGTGTGTATATATATATATATATATATGTATATGTATGACAGTTTATTTGAGCAATTTTGTGACCGTGGGTTGTCTATAAACATCAAATTTTGTTTTGAAAAAGAAAAGGAAGAGACCCGAGTCAGCGAGCAGAATGGTGGCAGGGCTTAAAGAATTCACTGCAAGAGTTGAAAGAAACGGTGTTTATGAACCAGTTCTGGATGCGGAGAACGGTGAGGAGCTGATGCGCGTTCAGCCTGGTGTTTCTATTGTCCTCGGTAATCGACCCCCCTGAGTCCCCGGGCACCCTCTACATCTCCACCAAGTACGCCGTGCTCTCTCGTGATGTTATTTATTTATTTATGTTTAGGTGAATTTCAGGGGATGGAATTGCTCGAGTAAAGAAAAACAATATTTGAAGGGACTTGTAAACATTTTTATCCTTTACAAAATTAGAATCCAATCGAGCATTTGGCTTTGATTTTGATTTTGCAGGCAAGTGGTTTGGTTGAGTGACGTTGATAGGGAGAAGGGTTATGCTGTGGACTTCTTGTCTATATCACTGCACGCTGTGTCCAGAGACCCGGAGGCCTACACCTCTCCTTGTATTTACACTCAGGTATATGCTTTCTTCGTTATTGCACTCCCGCAGCAATTTGGGGTTGGTTATCTTGTCCGACATGTACTTCGTCGAAACTGTTTTATTGTGTGGTGTGAACTTAACTTTGTAAGGCAATTTTGTGCTCTTCTCTGGATATAGTAGTGGCACCTTTTAGTATATATCTATTGTACACAGTATAAAGGCGAGCAGCCCTTATAGCAATAGCAAACGGCCTACTAATAGCCCTCTTTTTTCCCCCGGAAAATATAGTTTTTTTTTCCGGGTGTCTCAGAGCGTGGTGAACATAGGTTCTGACAGTAACTACGGTGTTTTTGGCGAATCACTTGCTTATTTTTGTATCCAGGGTTTGTGTGTCTTTATCATATGGTCAAAGTCTCGGACTAATCTTTAACGTCAATATGTTATTTCAAAGTTTTTGGCCTTTTTGTGCACCGTATCTCTGATTAGAGTTTTTAACTTTATAGATTGAAACTGAGGATGACGAGGACGAGTCTGACGGTTCCGATTCAGAATCCAATGGTGTCTTAGATTTATCCAAGATCACAGAAATGAGACTTGTTCCTTCAGATCCTAACCAATGTATATATATCTCTCTCCCTCTGTACTTTGTTGAATTTTCTTGTTAGAATTTTTCTGGTGAAGAGTAACTAGCTTGTTATTTATTGTGTGGCAGTGGATTCTCTGTTTGAGGTGTTTTGCGAGTGTGCAGAGCTTAATCCTGAACCAATTGAAGGTAGTACGATTTCTTCATACCCTGGTTATTTTCTTTTACATTTTTGTTTTTGTGAATGATATTTGTTATGTTTGATTCATGAGTTGTGCCCTGATAGTATAATTTTGATCTGCCTTTCCTTAGAAGGGGAAGAAGAGCATAACTGGATTTTTAGTGCCGATCAATTGGAAGACGAGGCAGTTGGTATGTGATGCACCATGGAACATTTATATCGTCATGTATCAATACGTGTAAAAATAAATATGAAATCTTCTATCATCTATGACGTCTTTGTTTTGAATGTGGCGGTATTTTCAGGGGACGATTCTGAGTGGCCTGTTCCTCAAAATCTTTCAAACCCAATTGGTCAATCGAACGGGGATCATGACCTAGCTCGTACTGTGCTTGAGGTAAGCCTGTGAATATCCACTTAATGCTTGCTGTGGAGTTGGCATATTTGTATTGATCACGTTTACATCTTCTTTGCAGCTTCAGATCAACGATCAGCGCTTTGAGGATGCCGAAGAAATGGAGCATGAGCGACAGTGATCGCCATTAATTTTCATTTGCCTTTCAATGTTTCATCTCGTTCAAGTGCTGCCTTCACCCCCCGCCTCGCTTTCTTGTTGTGCACTCAAATATTGCTGTATATGCGAACAAATTGTCGTAACTCTGTTAGTTCGTGACACAAAGTGGATTAGGGAATTTGTGACTAGTACCTTGACGCCTTTCGGTGTAGTCTATGTGCTACTTTTGTGGTATCTTTATGGAAAGTTAACCATTAATTTCTTTGGTTTTTCTTTCTCTGTTAGTATATTTGAAATTTTAGTTTGTCAACTAAAAAGCAATTAAATTTGATACACGTGACATGAGTAGAAGTTCGAAGGATGAAATTAGAATACAAATAAACATTTATACAGTGGGAATGTTGTGGTGTAGCTCGAGGTTAAGCAAAAAACTTATGAACACTTAAACGTGCGTGGTTGTTTTTTGATTTTTGAGCATCGTTGTAATACATTTTGTTTGTAGGTAAGTTTCTCTCTAAACCGAATGGTTAATTAATAATAAAGTTATAAAAAATTGAATAAGGTTAAAACTTGAAGTAACACCACAACAACATTAACATACCAATAAGCATAAATATAGATGAGGAAGTCTAAGTAACCCAAACCCATCACTCACGGACGTTTTGATGTAGATGCCTCAATTTTTAAATCAAGGGACGTTTTGATGTAGATGCCTTAATTTTTAAATCAAGCATTTGTATCTCTTTTAAGAATTTTGATCAAATATTCTTTTATTAATTTCTAATAAAAAATTACGATTTTTCATTATATTTAATTCACCAATTAATTCAAAAAGTAATTACTATCACAAAATTTCTAAAATCTATTATTAGATAAATAGTATCTTATAACAGTTTGTTTGAAAATAAATTTTTTGTTACTTAAATAAAAAATATTTTAAAAATTCTAAAAACACAACAACAATCCTATTCACTTTTAATTATGAGAAATGACATATTCATGCACATATATATAAATATGATGTACCAATGTATTTTGGTATGTTATAAAATATTAATTTTGGTATGTTATGTAATTCTTTATTGGTACATACCAAATTACTAATACACTTTGTTATCTTAATTTTTATACGTACAAAGTTAATGATACGTTATGTATAATCCTAAAAAAAAAATCATATTAAACATATTCTATCAATCCTCAATAATGAATTATTAAAATAAGGACACATTATACAAAAACGAAAAAAAGGGAAATCCTTGTTCACGCAGGTTTCTTAATGAAATGTTAGACAATTTAAAATTATTACCCTTTCATTACCAAAGGGTGGCCTAGTGGTTCGAGAAGAATTTCAGACTCGTATTTTACATGATACGTTCTGGGTTCTATTCCTACGGTTGGTAAAATCGCACCATGATAATGGCCATGAGGAGACTGAATAGCCTTTGTGAGTCTTCCCAACCTCTGAAAGGATGCATTGCTATGATAAAACCACCAGTTAGCTTCTTGGTTTTTTTTTTTGTTTTAAATTATTTCCCTTTTACCAATATATATATATATATATATATATATTTTTTTTTTTTCCGTCGCCTTGAAATCCTTGAACTCTAGATTCTATTTTTATTAACAGCTCTTATTTCTTAAAGTTTATAAAAATTTTGAGTTGGAAATTAGAAAAATGACATAGATAATTATCTCAAACCCTAATAGCCCACCGTATATAATCTCACAAAACACTGCATCTCCTTCCCACCGCTTTGAGAAAGAGACGAGCCGCAGCTCCCGACCTCCTTCCTAAGCCACCCAGGTCCGCTTCTCTATCTCACACAGTTTTACCTGATTTGTTTGAATTAGTTCTGGCAAACGTGATAGAAATCGAGTAATTTTTGGTGCTATTTCTGATAGTTTTAATTAAAAAAAAAATCTGTGATTAATCGTTTCATTGCGCTTTGGATACACAGGAAAGCAAGAGTTAGACTGAAGAAAATGGCGTACGCAGCGATGAAGCCGACCAAACCAGGTCTTGAGGAGTCTCAGGAGCAGATCCACAAGATCAGGATTACTCTTTCTTCCAAGAACGTCAAGAACCTCGAGAAAGGTCTCTCCTTTCGCTAATTTTTTTTTTTAAATTTATGCCCATTTCAACATAATTTCGTATTATTTGGAACACCTTCTTAATTTGGGAGTAATTATTCGTTTGAAACTGACTAATATGTTAGTGATTACCTTGTTTCTGTTGCCTAAAACCCATTTGATAGCTTTATCTGTTGTTGCAAATTGAAGTTTAGAGAAAATTTTCTTCTAGCTGTTCATATTATATGTTGGGTATATAGTAAGAGTGACCAGTGGGATTTTCTTTTGATATGTTTTAGTTGTCATACCGGAATTGACGTCTTAGTCTCCCGTAATCTTTTGGGTTTTCTGACGGTATAGTAGTCATTCAATTTCGTTCTTCTTTGATTGCGGTGTGACATGGTTGGGCTTATCCATTGCTTCTGTATCGAGTTTGTTTATCCATTGTTTCTATATAATTAGAGCGAGCAGTGCAATATTTGTTGAGAATTTGGTTTGTCATACCCTAAGTGTAGTCTTAGTCTCCCAGAATGTTTTGGGTTTTGTGAGATTGATAGTATTGCAGTCATTAAATTTCAATTTACTTTCGTTGTGGTGGAAGGCGGTTGAAATGGGTTCATGTACCGTTGTTTCTAAGTTAAGTTTGTTTAGACATTAAGCATTAGGATTTGCTTATATGAGTCTACCTTTAGCCTGTTGGATTGACATCTTTTTTGTTTATAGTTTGCACTGATCTGGTTCGTGGTGCCAAGGACAAGCGCCTCAGGGTGAAGGGACCCGTGAGGATGCCAACCAAGGTTCTGAAAATCACCACCAGGAAGTCCCCTTGTGGTGAAGGTATGCTTCAGTCTGAAATGTTATTCGTTGTTAATTCATGGGTTGTTGAATGTCGTTGTTATAACGATGTTTCTATAACTTCAAAGTATGGTTGGTGATTTTCAGGAACCAACACATGGGATAGATTTGAGTTGCGTGTCCACAAGAGGGTTATCGACCTGTTCAGCTCACCGGATGTTGTCAAGCAAATCACTTCCATTACTATTGAACCTGGTGTTGAGGTGGAGGTTACAATCGCCGACTCTTAAACTCTCCCCGATTTCAGCATAGCTTTCCTAGTTATTTGAAAGATGAGCCTGTCTGTTTTACTCTAATTTTGAACTAAGACTCGTAGTGTTTACGATTCTTGAGGTTTTGGTATGGATATGAACATCGGATCATATTTCAATATTTAGTAGAAGTACGTTTTGCAAGAAGCACACATCGTATCAAGACATTGAAATTTTTATTTCAGTTTGTGGGTTTATAATCCTCTAATTTTACGTCTTTAGTCGGCTACTTCCTAAATTATACATCAATTGGTTTCAGCTGTGTTACAATTTGTTTACGTTGAGAGACGAGGCTTAACCTTTCGTTGCTAATGGTGACAGTTCCCATGATTAGTGCCTCTTTGACATGAGAACGAGGCATGTCAATGTTATGCATAATAATTTTGCTAATTAGTCATAAACCAAATTCTGTGGAGTTCCAAAAGATCAAACTTTTGGAATGTGTTAATGCATGAACGTGATTGTTTTTTGCCAGTGTAATAAAGCGTCATAGTAGTGATTGCTTTTTGTCAGTGTGATAAAGCGCCACATTATCTTAGTAAAATTGTACATCTCTAACTGGGGAAAAAAAAAAAACAAGATTAAGACATCGTCAAACAAAATTTACATTTACCAAGCACTCTTCCAATTGGACTCCGAATAATAATCAAGATACCAGTCCACAAATTTCCTCAACCCCGTCTTCAAATCCGTGGTGGGCACATAACCAAGCTCCCTCCTTGCCAAGCTTACATTAGCATGAGTAAACAAAACGTCTCCGTTTCTCGGCATCGGCACCACTACCTTCTTTGCCTTCACCCCAAGCAACCTCTCCAAAAGCCCCACCACCTCATTAACCGGCACCGGCGAGGTGTTACCGAGATTGAAAACCCTAAGCTGTGCCGGCCTCTCCACCTTGCCTCCACTACCGGTGCTCTTCTCCGCCGTGTCCACCGCCGCCAACAAACCCTTTACGACATCGTCAACGTATGTGAAGTCCCGGGCCACGGACTTATGGCCTGGGCCCTCGAAAACCACAATGGGCTTCCCTCTCAACATGTCTCTAGTAAACGAATAGTACATCATATCGGGCCTGCCCCAAGGCCCATAAACCGTGAAAAACCTCAGCCCAGTAATTGAAAGCCCATATATGTGATTGTACGCGTGTGCTATTTCTTCCCCTGCTTTCTTTGTCGCCGCGTATAAACTCGCCGGTTGGTCGGTACGGTGCGTTTCGGAAAAGGGAACTTTTGAATTGAGGCCGTACACGGAGCTCGACGACGCCCAGATGATCGACGGCTGTGGGTTGGCTGTTTTACAGGCTTCGAGGAGATTCACGAATCCGGCGATGTTGCTGTGGACGTACGAGGCTGGGTTTCTAAGAGCGTATCGAACGCCGGCCTGGGCGGCCAGGTGGACGACGTGGGTGAATTTCACCGACCGGAAAAGCTTCGCGAGTTTTTCTGAGTCGTTGATGTCGGCTTCCAGTACGAAGATCCCATTGCGGCGGAGGAGATCAGCACGGCGGCGTTTCAGTGTCGGGTCGTAGTACTTGTTGAAGTTGTCGATCCCTACGACGCCGTCGCCGCGTTTTTTGAGAGCGAGGGCGACGTGGGTCCCGACGAATCCGGCGGCGCCGGTGACGAGAACGGATTGGCCAGTGGTGGAGTTGGCGAGGGGTTTTGCGGACTGGACGACGACGTTTTCCCAGGCGGGAAGGCTGGGGAGGACGCGGCGGTTGGGATTGGAAGAAGGGGTTCGGTGGAAGAAGATGAGGATGGTGAGGAGGATTGCGATCCAGAAGAAGATGAGCTTGGTGATGGAGCAGCGGAGGCGGAATCTGGGTTTGTCCATTGCCGGAAATTTTCTCGGGAAAATTCGGGAGCTCCTTACTTGTGAATGGGTACTAGTTTTCTGGCATTGCTAAATTCCAGTGGGAAGGATTTTGGGGTTTAAATTTGTGAGAATTTGGAAGCAAAAGAATTTGGGTTTTTGAGTTGGAGAGGGATTGGGTTTGTTCTGATCTTTCTTCTTCTCAGTGTTGTACTAGGAGTAAATCTTATAGGGTTTTCTTTTCACTTTTTTGTATTTTGCTTTTGAGTTGGAGGAGTTATCTGAATCGTTGCTATTTGGGTAAAAAGTACTGGGAATCCACCAGAAATTCAGGAAAAAGGAGAATGGAGAGATTGGTGATGGAAAAGCTCAACCTTTCTGTGTGCCCGTGAGAGAGAGAGAGGTGGGAGGGAGGTGGCGTGGTGAGGGGTAGATGGAGGGAAACATAAGTTTTTGGAGGGAAACACTGCTTGTAAAGGAGTTTAATTATAGTTAAACACCAATTAATTAACACTTAAACAAAGAGTGGAACTGTGGAGTAAGAGAAATAGAATTTTAAAAGGAATGGGAATATTGGGATTGCTTGCTACGAAAGATAACACAAGTTAAAGTCATTGTGTTTAAACATTTTTTTCTGTAGATTATAATAATTTAAAATTTAATATAATCCAAAGGAAAAATCAAGAACTACATAGAGAAAGTTAATCAAAGAAACACAACTCTCCCATTTTTCCCTCACATATATAATCAATTTAGTTTGCTCATCTTGTTTCTTGGCATGTATATCAAATGGTCAAATATTGGACTACGTCTTTGGTTCGCACGCTCGCACCATGTGACTGTCCGAACAAGATGTGGGTTGGGGGGTGGGGGATGGCCGGAGTTTATGGTAACTGGGAATGCCACCGAAGGCGGGGGTGGGGGATGGCAGTAGGCCTGGCATTTTGGACCCAACCTGTTAACCCGACCCGATCCAACCCGTTAATATTTGTATTTGGGTGGATGCTTAACGGATCGGGTCGCTAACGGGTGAATCCGTTAACAACCCGTTAAATAACGGATCACTTTGGGTCAACCCGTTAGACCCGTTAGAACCCATTAACACCCGTTAGCACCCGTTAGTTGAGGATATTTTAGTAATTTTAGTAAAGTCTTAATAACAAAAAATAAACTTTATGCAAAAAAAAAAATAATAATAATTGTTAACAGGTGAAACGGATGATCCGTTAGCTTAACGGGTCGGGTTCGGATGATCCGTTAGCTTAACAGGTTGGGTTCGGGTGACCCGTTAACTTAACGGGTCGGGTTGAACCCGACCCAAACCCAATAAACCCGACCTATTTACAGGTCTAGATGGCAGGAGTGCATGGGTAAATGGGTTGGTTGATTTTGTATATAGGTCGTATGAGTAAGGTGATCTACTGAATGAACGATATAATTTCTAAAAAATTGGGCTAATCTTGCTCTTATTGGGTGATTCCAGGCTTTCAACCTAATAGCCGAAGGCCCTAATACTAGTGTTAGTTGGGCTAAGACCACACACAAGGGCTTCAGCAATTCATCACAAAATCAGCCCAGTTCTGGTGAACATTAACCATAGGCATAACCCTTTGCAGAATATATGCACGCATTAATAACTGTGGATATATTTTTGGTAAAGATATTAAGGGAAAATGTGTAAAGATAATGTCATATCATTTGATATTAAAGGTCAGACAGAGTGTACGTTCCCCCACTGAACATTGATCAAGAACATTGATATGTCTTAACTTGATTAATTACCATCTAATTTATTTGTCGACAAGCAACAAATTACTGTCAAATCAACAAATCATGGTTAATTGTGTTCTTTCGGCTCCTTGGTTTTGGTTCTTTCTTACATGATTTCTTCAGCCACTTCTATTTTTCCTTTTAAGAACGAATATATTGGTGTTAGTTAGGCTTTCGGTTCTTTACCTCAAAATCATGAACCAATTAATCTAAAATTGGTAACTGGAATTTTCTAAAGTTCTTCGTCTAAGTAGGTCAAATATTGAGTATATGGAGTGCAATTTAAATGCGAATAGGGGTTCAAATGAGATAGGATGAGGATTAGAGTTAAAAAGTATCAAAGAGCGAATGTTTTCGCTATCTTGCAAAAGAACGGAGAATTGGATGGAATCTCAACATAGAATACAAGGTGGATGAATGAAGTGGAAGAGCGCATTGAGTGTGTTGTGGTGACAGTCGTATGCCACTAAAACTCAAAGAATTTTTTTTATATGATGACAATAAGGCCAGTGCTTTATGGCACGGAATGTTGGTAGTCAAGCATTAACATGTGCAAAAAATGAGTGTAGTGGAGATGAGAATACTCTGTTAGATGTGTGAGCACACAAGAAATGACAGAATTAATAACAAGAATATCCAAGGTAAAGTAAGAGTAACCGTAATTTTAGACAAGATGAGATAAAATCGGTTAAGGTGGTATGGGCATGTGAACCGAAGATTTATAGAGGCTCAGGACAAAATGAGTAGAGAAAGACTTAAGAAGTCTTGGAAAGAGACTTTAAAAAAATACATGGAGTACTTCGAGCTAACAAAAAACTTGGCACAAAACTAAGTGCAGTTGCATTCTAAGATTCATACAGCCAACCCACTTAATGTGATAAGTTTTAGTTGTTGTTATAATGAGTCTGTTGCATGGGATCAACTTATATGACACATGAATATTGTCATTTTGGCATTTTAAGTCTAAAGAAACTTATAAATATCATATGTTGTTACAGAACAATGCGATAGCGGTATACCATCATGAAAGTCCTGTTGCAAAGTAGTTATATAGTTATTTTAAACTACATATCCAAGCACATATCATTTCTATCTCGTCATATGATTTATTTGTATGCTTAATCACGTTTCAGGTAATAAGAAAGATAAACACGATAAAATATAAAACCAATTACAAACACATGTTCTCTCTTCTATTGCACAAAATCAATCAAATCCGAAATTGTAGCCAAAAATAGAATGGGCATGAAAAAGCATGATTTGATGGAAATTAAGGTGTCTCATAAAGTAAATAAAACAGCAGTGATCCTAGTGATTAACATCATTTGCAATCACATAAATTTCATATATATCTATTGCCCAACAAAATTTGTCAATTTAGGAATCCTGAATTAGGTAATCTGCTTTTGTTTTATCTATAACATCACGATCATCATTCATCTGTGCCATTTTTCGGTTCTTTGAATCTTTCCATCATTCATAGAAAAACTGTAGTCACACTTTAATCAATTCGTGCCCACACAACATCATTATGCAGGACCGGCTTTTGTTAAATCATCAATAAATCAGTTTAACCTTTTTCATATCGTGTTTCGTATTATTGAACTGAAGTGACTCGGTTTTATCACAACTTTCGTTTCAAACAAAATAATATACGAATTTTTTAGATGGTTTTCGTCGTCGGAAACGGCGGAACTCGTTTGATAACTATTTGGTTCTTGAATTTTTATTTTTATTTTTTGTGCTAAGGATAGAGTGAGAGTATATTGATCGAGAATGACAAATGAAAAGTGATGAAGGGAGGTAACTATGTAGAATCATAGTAGGGAGAATTGAAGGATATTATATAAAAACAAGACATATTTGTCGATTTGCCTCTCGAACTTGTATAGAGTTGCCAATTTTCCACCTGAACTTTAATTTTAATCAATTACTCTCCTAAACTTTTATAATTAACCAATTTTCTCCTTAAACTTTAATTTAGTCAAGTACCGCCCTGAACTTTATAAAGAGTCATTTTCCTCCTAGCACTAGATTTTAAAATTTTATATCCAATACTCCATCCATCACGCGAACAACACATGACAACTGTATGAGGGCAAAAAGATGATAAATGGATGGATACAAATTGGATTAAAAAAAACTTTTAAAATCTAATGGAAGGGAGAAAATTGACTTATTTATAAAAGTTCATGGAGGTAATAAGCTAAAATTGAAGTTCAAGACAAAAATTAACTGATTATGAAAGTTTATGAAAGTAATAGTTAAAAATAAAGTTCATCTGCTAATTATTAAAACGAATCCCTACTAATTTACACCCACGAGTAGAATCCATTAATTATATATCTTCAATGATCTAGCCACCATGAAAGGTGGCCATAATTTTTATGTGCTAGAGCAATTTAATTTCCACAGACATGGATGTATCATTTGATTTTGGTTAGGTAAGAAGCAGAGAAATTACTCATGCATTACTGCATACATTTCCTGTGGACCTCAATTCTCAAACCAAATAAGATATTTCAACCACCCGAGTAAGGTGCATATATAAATGCCTCACATTTCGCTTCCCTCTTTCTTTTCACATTAGTTTCTTTTCACCGAGAAATTTTCAGTGCGTCAAGAACATGACCTGATACATGAAATATTATAATAGAATTGGTTGGAATTTTTTTTTAAGTTTCCGACGAATTGTATTATTACACATGATATACTAAGGGATGCTTCCAGCACACTGAAAAATCCCTCCCTCTCACCTATTTCTCCCATGAATCCAAGCTAGGCATACACAAAGCATGTATAAATTACTTTCAAATAGAGTTATTGTCCTTCTTTATCATTATTATATTTCGTCATGAACATTTTAAAGAGATTATCAATTAATTTTAAGTTGGATATTTTAAAATCCATATATATATATATATATATATATGATATCATAACGGATTAGTATTTAGCACACATACTCTTGGGCCACCTAATGTAATTAACCAACCGCATATTTAATTTCAAAACATAAATAACTACAAAACCAATTAAAAAAATAAGGTTTTGTGATCTTCATATACAGAAAATGCAACCACCTTTGGAACTTTTTTTGCGTCGACTGTATTTTTACATGTAACCTATCATTTACTTTTACCAAGAAAGCTACAAATGCAGCTATCAATGTCTTAAACCAGAAGCTGTCGGGTACAGGCGTAAAACATACAAAAGTTATGCAACCAACAAATATATCCGAATCCCATAAGCTTCCAAACCACCTCATGTCACGGCAGTTTGGTATATCATCAAAGCATGCAATGCACCACCATTGGCATAAAAACCACCCTCACATCAGTTTCATGTCCTTCTCATCATATTAAGGCCAAGCCCATAGTTTTTGGTGACAGCATAAAAGGTTCATCTTCAAAGTAACTTCTCGAATTCTACAACGAATCATGATCAACTTGTTAATTTCTTACACGATCCGTTAACTCGGTATCAAAAGGCACAAAAATAACAAGCTCTGGTCAACCTGTTAAGGAGTTGAGTCTTTATTGAGTCACTTATTAAGAACCCGATAAGATATCATTTGTTATATCTATACATTAGGTACAACAATTTTTTGCATAATTGTTAACCCGACACAAAATGA